CCGGTGTTGATAATAATAATAATTGTCTCGCGTAATCTGACACGCATGAGCCTGACGCGGATCTAATGGTTTTCCATCGAACTCCACGATCGTGAAGTAATACTATTATTAAATGAAATACCTCAGAGTTTACAATTGCCGCGGGCGACACGTGACTATCCGATGTTTAAATAGCACGCGATAATTCTGTTGATACGGTGTTATATTAATGTCGATGGTGTCTGCTTATTAGTTATACCTATATTGTGTCGAACCATATTGAGTAATAAAATGCAACAATCGCGGACTATGTTGACGATTTGAAAATAAAAGTATGCGTGTTTATCAAGTCTGACAGAACTTAAAGGGGTAACAAGCGGGTGAGCTAGGAGAACTGCAATCCGGCTCCAGAAAAATTTAAATTGAAAAATTCGAGAAAGCAGGATACATAAAGTTATTTAATTTCTATCTGTAGGTAACGATAAACCGTTGTTAACGAAAAATGTCTCTGAACGGAGCTCGGTTATACCTACGTGGTTTAAAATGCGCCGATTTGTACGACATTCAAAAAAAATTGAACTGAAAAGGCTTATGAAAAAAACAACTTGCAACATTGCGCTCAACTTTTTTTAGATTTTGAACGTAGCGAGGAATATATTGGTTCTAGTATGATGTGTGTTTTTTTTTTATTTTTCTGTCTGTAAACGACTTTTTCATCAAAAATCTTCTTCCATTCAAGAAATGACAAAAGATCTTTTTTTTTTTTGTCCCATTTATAAAGTTCTATCCTTAACCCTTAATAACCAGACGCCTGCCTTCTTTTATCGTTCATCGTCGCGTAGGGGTCTATCAGACCCCGTTTGTGAAAACGCGTGAATTATGTATGAAAAGTTAATTTTCTTTAAATTCAAAGACATGATGAGTTACCGCCATACGACATAAAAATATGGACAAAAATTGAATAACAAAAATAAATTCAAAACTATATTATAATATTATTACATTTTTTATCTCGTATAAGTTTTATTTTTTATGGGGGTCAATAATACTCCCCGTGACTACTTAAGATTTAAATAAATTGTCGTTTAGTGAAAAAAAAAATTGAAATATTATTCTCGGGTTTCAATATGCGTACGTACGTGAAAATTAAAAACCTTTTACGTTATAAAATCGAGATAAAAATACAATCGTTGTTATTTGAATTAACTATTGTATTATGTTCTACTGCAGTCTTACGACACTGAGTTCCCATCAATCCTATTGTCGTGGTGCCACTGATGACGACCGTACATAAACTGTATACGTATCCACAGAGAAAAACCAATATTTTTTTTAATAATCTGAAAAATGTAATGCTCGCATTTATTCGAATACATCTAAATGTACTTAATATTATATTTTTTTTTTTTTAATAAACATTGTTCTTCGTATATTTACACGGTAAGTACAGCCAAATGTTCTTATATCGTCGCCAAGATAATAGCGCAGCGATACGACGCAGAAATTGTATAAATTAATAATTTCAAACGCGGTTTATACCCGCAATATTATATTATTCCGTTACCTACTTTTCTTTTAACCGTTGCAATGTAGGTATTTTATTTTATTATTATTTTTTTTTTTTTTTCGGTTCAATAAATTTGAATATTGCCGCAATTCAATTATATTATATTTCGTTTAGCGGTCCGTGTTTTTGGACCCCGGACACTCACACTCGTGTACTTATACGCCGCGGGCCAATGGCCATGTTCCAGTTAACTTGTTTCGCTCAGCAGCTTTTATTTATAATATCTTTCAACTGTTGTCCGACTTCCTACATACGCATATACAATGTGCGTTATACATGTATGTAAAGCGACCTCTTCCTATCGAATAATAACAGTGTAATAAAATGTACAATCGTGCTGTACACAAAGCTGCGCGTGGTGCGATGACCTTCTATAATAAACATGTTTGGCAAACAATATACCGTATAATAAAATGAAGAAATGTTCAGCAAACAATAATGGGTACAGTATATTGTGTTTTGCGTATCTGTTAAAATGTTCGTAAAACTCTCAAGCCCGACAATACGCGTGATAATATAATTGTTACTATTACGGTTATGATAATAGTATATGAAATATTTCACTTGAAATGTCCACGTTTGAAATATTGGAAAACAATTATATATTCAAAAATATTTTAAAAAGCAAACATTGGTTAGGGGATTAAGGGGTTATGGGGTTTAAAAGTTATTATCTTAATGACTTTATTACTTTAACTTGTTAAACACAATTTTCTACTTCTAATTTTTCTCGTGTTATTTAATAATAAGTAAAAGCCGTTAGAAGGAAACTTTTGAACCACACTGCCATTTGCTTTTTAAAATACATTTTTATAAGTTTTTCAATGTTTTTTTTTTTTTTTGTAGATTTTAAGTGCTAATAGACCTTAGCCCCGGCCATAATACAAACAACGTTGTAGTATTAGATTCGCTTAAAACTTTAAGTATTATATTCATTATTCAAATTGGCCGTAAATAAACAATTATCTTTAATGTCGACAATGAAAACTGATTCAACTGTTAATATTTACGAGCAATTCAGTACCCTTCTATACTTTAAGCAGTCATCTGCCGTAGTAATTGTTTAAGTTTTAAATTGAATCACAATTTTTTATTTTTCGCATACAGATGAAATATTTAAAAACTATATGTTTCGTGAAATTTTACAACAAAAATGATTATAAATAATATTTGGTACATTTTAAATTTTTGAATTCTATTTTCACACTCTTTTTTTATCTTCGGGATTTCCCATATGGGGCGAGCTAATATGTTACCAGAGTTAAGTTCAAAGTTGTATGTTAAATTTAACTTCCTATGTTTCTTTAATCGTTCGAGTAAATTTATTGTTTTCGCATTATTAACTTAATAATAAACGAATCGAATTTAAATTACATAACGTTAGGTTAATAATATAGTGCGTGCTTAAAAAATAATACATTGTTTAAAATATTTGTGGTAATATAAATAATTCCGAAATAAATCCTCGGTGTTTAATATTGCTCGTGCTTACATTATTATAACAATTTAAAAAAAAAAAAACAAATATTAACTTGACTTAAGATTACTTTTTTGAACAAGCTTTTAACTAAACTTTGTTCATTAATATAACAATGGACTTTTATCTTGTTAACTTTTTTTAATTAATAGAGTTGATAATTATATTTTCGTGTACATTGTACATTGTACAACATTCCGGATTTCTCCCGTTTTATTATAAGTATTATTATGCATTAGCATTTTTAATATTACATTTTTATTATTATTATTATTATTATTTATTAACTACCTAATTTCAATATAAGAAATACAAAAGGTTGAAACGATGTTAAATTATTATTACAAAATTTATATTTGTATTATAATTAGTTTTTGTAGGTTATAGGTTCACCATGAAAATACGTTCAAAATAATTTTTTAACGTTTTCAACTGTGAATGTTAATGTTAACACAGCGTTAAATGAATAAAACTTGTTGACAGAAAATAAGTATTATTAATTTAAAATGTACCTCTGACGTGTATTACTATCGATACAGAGTTGCCACCCGGAGAAAATGCAAATTCGTTTTGGTAAATATTAAAATTTGGAAAATTAAATTAGAAAAAATTAAAATTGGGAAAAACCGACAAGTGAAAAGTGTATCGATGTTTGTTTTTTTTAATGCCACTGTATCCGTGAGAATTTATTTCAGAGTTTGAATATTTTTTTTTTTTTTCCATTCGTTAGTTCCAATTCGTAATAATTCCTAATATTTAGTACGAATTTGTAGAATTATAACATAATGCTCAGTGGCGCCGAAACCAGCAATCAAGGACTGCGGTAGCCAACCTCTTTTTAATGGGTGGATCCATGATAGGTACCTGAGACATATTTTTTATCAAATTTGCACGTATAGAATATTAATTAAAAATGGGTTGTACAGGAGTTTGTTTTGTAAACGAGAGTGATGGGCTATGCAACGTTTTACCTGCCCATCTTTTTAAAACATGGTTCAGTGCTACTAATAATAATACTAATTCATAATTAGTATTAATAATATTTTAATTAATGTTAATAATATTTTCTATTTATTGTACCAGTAATATACCAAGCTAACTTGAACAGCGTTGAAAATACACATAATATACGAATACTGTACACCGTTATGTTTATCAAATCCTTATAATATTTATCTAAGTTGTAATAGTAATCATAATATACCTAGTAGATATAGGTAATTATTGCCTAATCGTAATTTATTATATACGACGAATTGTATTATATTTTTGTATTTTTCGGCTCGGAAACGAACTACTTAATCATAATTATTACAGCGAACAACTTGCACGTTCGGATAACATTATATTATTATAGAGTAAACAATAATACCGTATACCTGGACGTATACTACTATAACTGTTAGGTAAATTAATGATTTAAAAAAAAAAAACCCTTTTGAAAAAATAATAATTCCGGAAGGTGGGCAGGCAGGTACGTCAAAAAACCTTATTATTATTGTAATATTTCGATGAGAATTCTCGTCAATATTCCCAACGCGGTATTAATAAAGTATAATAATAATAATAAAAAAAAAAAAAAAATACAATGAATTCCACCTGTATATACGTATAATTCGTGAAAACTCGGGGAAATGGATGCCCATCATCATAAATAATGATAATAATATGTCGGAACTCGCAAAATATTATATCAAACAATAAAATAATATGAGTGACAAGGACATCACTAGAAAAAAAAAGACCCAACAATGAGATACATATATATGTGTGTGTGTGTGTGTGTGTGTATAAGTACTTGTGTTTGTAGTACTCGTTTATATACATATAGGCCAGCAGTAATAATAATTATATCCGTCATGTCTGCTGTAGCGAAAAACGACAAAAAAAAAAAAATAATAATAATTTTAATAATAATAATAATAATAAAATAATATAAATTGAGAACTATTAAAAAACGCGACAGTAAAAGAATATTCTCACACGGGTACAATAATATTTAACGTGGCGGGAACCGCGCAATTACTATCAAATGCCTAAATATACACGAATAACGGCTTTGTTAATATTACGTCCGTTAAAACGTTCCGATTTTTACACGGTAAAGTGCATTAAAACACGAATACATTAAAAGATAACACGTGGATTTTCCGACCGCCGGTACTTTATTTGCAACGCTTGTGGACGTTTTTTTTTTTTTTTTTTGTCAAAGATGCGGGGAATCGACACTAATACTTCTCCGTTCATAATCGTTTTTTTTTTTTTTTCGTTTTCGATGATTTATCGTTGCGCACAGTATATTATATTTTACCGAATTGTGTATGTTACACATTCCCAAACTCACGGTGATCCGCCTACAATTACAGTGACCTACTCGTGATCGATATCAATATTATTTGAGTAAATGTGTTTGCAGCCGTTGTATAACTTGATTTACACTTACTCCTGTAAATTGTTTGCGTTATAAACATATAATTATTATCATAAAACGTAAACAAACATTAAATAACTTATCTGAAAAAAAAATATAAACGGACGAGGTAATTAACCTTGCTGGTGAGATTAAAAAACCGTCTTGTTGTTTTTCTATTTATCATTAGCATTCCTCCATTAACTACCTTAATATTGTTATTATTATTTTAGCGGTTGTAAACGTCAATATTATTTTTATATATAATTTAAATCAAAAACAAACAAAAATTAAAATAAAATATGTAATGGTCGTAATTTGTTTGCACGACAATTTTTCCGGAAACAAAGCTACGTACAACACTTGAAAATATTCTTTTTTATACATTTTTATATTTAAAGGTCTTGGTGCAACAACCAGATAATTGCACATTTTTGGAAAATGCATTTTTTTTATTGATTATTGAGTAGGAAAAAATTACCTACATTTAGGTGCAACAACCATTTAAATCAAATAAATATATGTATAGTTTTTAATGAAATTGGATTTATCTTGTTTTTGTGTTTGGTGCAACAACCAGATAACTTCGGAGTTATCTGATTTTTTGGTCCAATATTGTGGTCACATCAAATGTGTTTATTGTTTTTGGGTACTATTAACGAAATTAAAAGATGTTAAACATTTTTTTTTTTTAAATTATAATTGTTAAAAAAAAAAACTATTATTATTCATGTTGAACAGTTTTTAAAAAGTGGATTTATTTGGTTGTTGCACCAAGCCCTTCATTTATGTTTTGACTCGGATTTCAACCTAAACGCCGCCTCATGTGTGTCCTTAGGAAGTTAATTTGACACTTTTTTCCTTTATGTTGTTCGTTGGTGGCAGACTCAGTAATCGATGCGGATATCACGTCCTCTCAATAGATTATCTAATAATTATCCGATCCACCGATTGTGCGACGCGAAAAATACTAAGTGAAACATTGTAATCGATAATTCTATATAATACAATTAAATGATTAAACGTTACGGTACGATAATAATCAAAATTATTGTAGGTACTTAAGTATGTTTCAAACGCCAGTGTACACTGTAAAACAGCTATTTATTTGTGAAAACGGCATCCATACTTTTATGTTCGTTGATAAAAATGAAATTCAATGAGAATTAGGTTGAATGATTATTATATTTATTAACGATTGTGTACAAACTCCGCGAATTACAACATTATTATTTTCTAGAGCACGCGACTGCGTCATAGTTCAAAAAGGTGCAGAGATAGTTTATGGAATACTTAATCAACCCGATTAAGTTAAATAAACAATAAAAGCTTATATTATCATAAAAAATATGTTAATTGTAACATTAAAAAAAAAAGGGAAAAGGCTGTCCTAGAATAATGGGGAGGGGTTAAGCCACTGTTATAAATAATTTAATGTATACCCGTAACCCATTGCTTATAAAAAAAAACGATTCTGAGCGAAGTCCAGTTAATAGTGATGCTTTGTCCACAATATAGATGCAACATTATAGTAAAATAATAAAATACCTAGGCATTGTATGTTTTCTTTAATAATATTTGTTTAATATTGTACCGATTTTCCTGTTATTTCGACATTTTTCCTGTCTTTCCAGTGGTTTTTCTGGTTTTTCACGTTTACTTGGAAAACTCTTGAAGAAATCAAAAAATTACCTCCTTAAGTACCTCTCCGGTAAGATTATCTTTCAGAAAAAGTGCTATAATTTTTAAATCGAAGCAAAATTGTTTTTGAAAAGTTATGCAGAGAAATAAAAGGTCATAATATTTTTTTACTTTTACCTACATTTCATAAATTTTCCGTTTTTCCGACATATTATTCCCGTATCTCCCAGATAATATGAAAACCGCCTGAAAAACCAAAAAATGAGCGTGCTAAATTAAAATGGAACTAAATTTCCTTTCAGAAAATAAGCTTCACTTGATACATTGGAGCAATATTTCAGGTAGAAAAGTTTGCACAACAATTCAAGTGGAATTTTTCGATTGAAATAGTCCGAGCGAGCGTGGTCTTTAGATACACTCAAAATACTTTTATTTTGCAGTTGTTGTGCACACGCGTATTTTTTTAATTTGTCGTTACCGATCAATAAAAATGGAACAAGTGCCTCCAATTATAAATGATAATAAAATAATCATACATTTATTAGATGAGGAGGAAGAAAAAGAAAATATAAGTATACTTCAAATGCATATCGGAAGCCAATAAGTAATTTATTTGAAACAAGGGAAACAAAAGGTCTCTTTAAAGATGATGTTTCTCGTGAGAAGTCGTAGTGAATTGAGTTTTCGTTGTTTTCGACATTTTTCGATTGAATAAATTCGTTCGGAATAAAATCGCAACGCGATTCACACTGCTACCAGAGCACTACGGTCGTCAAACTCAACGACTTATTTTGATACGCCGTTGACATGTCGATCGCATTATTGGACACCACGATAAGGCATTTATTTATAGAGCAGTCAATCACGCGACCAGTCGCAGCTTAGGCAACCGTATTTTAAGCCGCGGAAGCCGGGTATTATTAATAATAATTAGTCTATATTTAGGTGTGTACTTTTAATGTTTTTTAGAACTCCTGGGCGCCTACACATATCCTTCCAGTGAGGCCCAGTATTGTGAAAAAATTAAATTAATTAATAAATATATAATATTTATCGCCGATAGGATATTCACATACGTTACGATATCGTGTATCGTTTTCGATTGTAAACTAAATCGAACCTTTGTACTGTTCAATTAATATATAAATTAAAAATTTAGATACAAATTAAAAGGGAATGAATATTTTGAAGAGGATTTGAGCCTAAAAAACCTTCCGCGTTTCCCATGATGGTGAGTAAGAATCAAAACAAAAAACGGCCTGACCGTCGAATAATATAATTGGCCACTACCAGGAACCGTTGCTGTATGAAATCTAAAATCAAAAAAGATGAATATAATTTGCACGCGGGTGCAGCAACCAATTGTTAGTGGGAAGTTGGGAAGGTAGGATACCGAGGGAATTCAATGTATATCAACTATAAATCATTGATAATGAAAAACAACGATTCTGAGTAGAGATCAGTTGATAACCTACATAATATGTAAGATAATACCTACATTTCTTACATTTTCCTATTTTTCTTCCGTTTTTTTTTTTCGGTTTTTCAAATTTGATGAGAAAACTCCTGAGAAAATCGAAAAATTACCTCTCTAAAGTTCCTCCCTAGTGAAATTTCCTTTTGGAAAATTATCATTAAATTATTAAAAATTGGAACAAAATTGCATGTAGAACAATTGTGAACAGAAAAAAAAATAATAATTAACATCTTTGTAAAACCATAAGCTTCTTCGTTCCAGTCCAAAAGCATAATTTATTGAATGCAAATTGGTTTTTTTTCGGATCCGACTTTTATAAATTCCCATTTTCTGCTTAGATATTATGTAACACAAGACGTTTCTACAATTCACGAAGCATTATTATTATTTAATACGCCTGCTTCTATTGACAATTCCCGGGCGAGTCGCTGACGATACTGAAAAACAACGTAACGCGCAACCGTGTCGCTCGGTGTTTTTGCATGTTTAATTTATTTACTTTTTTTTTATCGAGATCAATAAGTAAACCGTGTACCTGAAAAAAATCGGACGTTTTACGGTAGTGTTTTTGAGGGACGATAAATACATGAAATATTCGGGTTCCACCCCGCCCCTTACCGGACTACACCTTTGAAAAAGGTGTTTCGTACGTTGCTAATCTTTTTCTAATACCAACCCGACAATAAGCGTGTGCGGGAAATTCGAGTAATACGTGCTCACGTTTTGCATACTATACAGGTATTAGGTAATGCAAATTTAACTTTCAGAAATAGGTACTCGCGTATAGCTGTACATAATTTTACTTTTTGTTCACTAGTGAAATAAGCTCAACGGCAATGGGTGCAATGGTATTATTGCAAAATATACAGATACCTACCGCGAATAATCACGCTGGTCGAATAAATTCCAATGCTCTAATCCCACGACGATTAGGGTTTTCATTTAATGTAGATTACCTTCCTTGCGAGGGTAACGACCGGTGTAGCCCAAACGGCTTCCGTCCGAATGTTAACTCTCGGCGGTTCCTTACCTCGAAACGAGTCACAGACCCAAACACAGCGATTCTCCAATTGGCTCGTTTGATTGCATATCATGCATTTATAATTTCGTGGTAACATTTCGATTTCAATAATAAACTTGGTAGGTTCTCTAGCTGTTAATTGTTTTTCGTCGTTGGTTTAAATCAGATCAAGGCACCCAAGTGATCGTTATGATGATTTTCGTCAAAATTTAAATTTAAATCTCTTGTGTGTTTGAAAAATAAAAATGTTCAACATATAATCCAAATAGAAGCTAACAAAATTTGAAACTGTTAAAATACATAATATTATGAGCTAATTGAACTATTTATATAAATAACTCAAAATTAGCCATAATGTTTTGGTAATAATTTGACCATGTCTAGTACACGCCATTGTTGAAGCTTAAAACTTGCAGATCCTTATGATTATGATTCACCAGATTTAAAAAAAATAACCGACGAATCCGCCTTTGTCGTATATTTTTTCTAGTTTTCAACTTTCCCCGTTTTTTTTTTTTTTTTTTAATTATTAAGAAACTACAAGAAAAATAAAAAAAAAAAAGACTTCGTCAATACACCAAATGCACCTACAATTATCTATTAGAAACATATGCTAGTATGCTACACTCGAAAATCGAAACATTTTTACCAACTCGGTGTGTTCGAAATCTAAAAACATTAACACATTTTGAACCACACTATTCACGAGGCGGTTTTGAATCTGCATAAAATGCGAAGGAACTTGTGTTGTCGAATAGTACTTTGGAAATCGACGTATTTGCATTTTGCATAGACGGGATCCAAATGGACTATAACCGTAAAGATGAGTTTATTTTCTGTATCTATATTC